AAAAACTAGAAATAAAAAAACATAGATTGATGTGCTTTTTCAGTGAGGAATTTTGGCAAAGCAGCAAGCAGGTACCTCAGCAGATCTTTTGTATCCATCAGTGATCTGCAGAAAGGAACACTTTTGCTTCAAATATTTTAATTATATTTGCTTATATATATATACTTATATGTATATATATATATACAGAAAGATGACTTTTCTTTTTCTGTATCATGGTTTAAAGAGACTTATAAAATCAGGTGGTTTTGCTCTATCATCCCAATGTATTTTATTCATTCATATCTAAGATATTTGGAATTTTCTGTGCAACTGAAAAAAAAATTGCCTTTTCCTAGTGGCCTAAGCAACAATAAATTATGCTTAGAAGCAATACTGCCAAGGGAGGAGAAAAATGAAAGACTGAGTATTAAATCTGATCCACACGTCCAAGTCAGTGTTGCTACCTCATGCAGCAAATACTATTTTATTGGCACCACCCGCCCCCTTCTATGATCTGCCATATTGAACCACACACCATCTGACAAGCGTAACTGAGTCACATTTAGCATACTTGGTCTCACAACAGCAAGCAGGACAATTATTGGCTTGGGCCACGTTTGGAGCGCTCAATGACTCCTTTAAGGCATTGCCTTCACCTTTTTGCACATCTGCTTTCAAGGTGGGAAGCCAGCCCCACAGCAGCACCACCACCAGCTTGGCTCCACTTATCTGTGTGCCCAGCACCTGAGCAGAAGAAACATTTCTTATCTAGCTGTTGCTGTGGGAGCTCCTTGCTGGGCCCCTCAGAGCCATTTTGCTGCTTTATTTTCTCACTGCAGTGCCTGGTGTCCCGCTTGCTCCCAGGAGGACGTTGAGTTTGTGAAGCTCCTACCAGCAGCACAACAAGCAGGGCTGTTGCACACTTTACTGCTACATCAATGGTATGAGCTGCAGGAGAAGAGCCAGGGAAACTTTGCCTGCACAAAACACAAAATCTCTTCTCAGCAAAATGGAAAAAACAGCTGTTTTTTCCAGCAGCAAAGATGCATTGCATAGATAGAGAAGTCCGAATGACTCTACCTTGGGTGCAAAGACGTCTGGACTTTTCTTGCCTAGGCTCTTTTTAGCTCAAAATCACTTCATGACTAAAATGTGCATATATAGACACAGCAAACCCTTCTACCCTAGGAGTGGCATCTATTGCCTGATTTCTCTTTTCCTCTGGATCTAATTTACCCTTTGTCTTGGAGCTACAACATCTCACAATGAAGAATCTGATTTCTGTTTTTACTCTGGATCTAATTTACTACTCCAAGATTATCTGGAGATAAAAGATCCCTTTCAGTCCAAACCATTCTATGATTCTGTGATACGCAACAAGCAATTTTGCTTCCTTACAAACTACACTTTCCACATGCACTGCTGGAGCTGAAAAAAAATGTGGAGAGTATCTGAAATTCTAGAATGGGAGAACGGAGAGGAAAGGAGCATTTGTTTTTAATCATTTTAAGTAGGAAATCAATAATGTCAGATTATGATAGAAAGGCGAGTATTATGAACTAATAAAACCCAGGCAGTTATTACATGACAGTTACTGAAGGTAATTAATGTGCTGGGTACCTTCTCAGCATATTTTAAATAAATGAGCCTATTAAACTTGTATAAAGAAACTTTTGCAGACTGTAACTGATTAAAGTTTTATTATATTGCCATAAAGACCAGAAATGCCTTAAAATTCATTGGGAAAAAAATTGCTAAGAATGAATAAAAGCTACTAAGATACATCTGGGAAGGTAAAACAGCATTTAGCACTACCCAAAACCAACAGATTCATGCTGCTCTCTTCAGCAGCAGACAGAAACTGTCTGCCAGGTGGGTTCTCAGCTGTCTCATACTGCAGGTGAGCTTTGCAGCCTTTCCCTTGGCAGAGGAGCTTATTTGGGTGTTCACAGAGAGGAGTAGCCGGGCAGAAGCAGTTTGCAGGCATGCAGCATTTCTGAGATCTCTACCTTTATAGTTCAATATCTGAAGTTACCCAACAGATTAAAAAGTACAAAATGGCAAGTACAAGAAAAAGATCATGTGAGCTCAACTTCCTTTGGAAAGCAAACTATAAGTGCAGAATGGACTTTTGCCTCCATTGTATACTTCAAAAAGAAAAAAGAAAACGGTTTAAGCCAAATAGTAATATTTTCAATGGCACCGATTTTTTTTAGTATAGAAAAGGATTTTCTTCAATAAAGGAAATTTTGAAAGGCCAAGATGCTATTACTCTGTATTAGAAAAAAAAAGTTTAGTAAAAAAACAAGAAATCACAATTATCTTTCATGTATGCTTCAGATAATTCCACTGACCCCAACAGAGCTGTATCTCTCAACCACGATGTTTTCTTGTGTTGTTAGAAGACCAGACTACAAAGAGATTCACTAGCTCTGCCTTTGACTTCCCACACTGGGTGGCCAGTTGAGGCACCAGCTTGAAACCACGCCTTATGGCACCCAGTGCTTGCAATATTTTCAAGCCCTTTGGTGAGATAGAACCTCTGTACATTTTGATTTGGGATGAGATGGTAATTTTGCCAGTAGCAGATAGACAATTACTGTGTAGACTTAACAGCTGTTTTCAAACATGTTTCCAAATTTGTAACTTGGTTCACATGTCAAGCTGTTATCAGATTGCTGTGCTGAGCATTATCAGTACAGCATGCTTTAAATATCTAGACTGAGACAGCTAGAGAAAATGATCAGCAAATGGCATGAAGCAGATGTACAGTAGCTATAGAAACCACAGCTTACACAAAACAAATAAGCACGGACCATTACCTACAATTTGGTTCACGTTCCTCCAAATGCGTCATAACATCTGTTGTAAGGAATCTTGTAGGGAATGCTGAGAAAATATGTTGAATACAAATACTGCTGAACGAAGAATAAAGCCATTTCCAACTTAATGGTGCTAAGAAGGTATTTAAATGTACTAATAAAGAAACTAATGAGGGATGCTGTTGGTGCCAAAGCAAAACACTAGAGAAAATTAGCTACAGCAACTTGGAGCAACATACATTACATCACGCTAGCACAGGCTATAGGGCTACAGCAAAGCAGTGTTGTAATTGCTTTAAGTATCAATTAAAACAAAACAAAAATACTGCTAAGAAACCTGTACTATTCTAATTACTACGTGACATAGGGCTGCCCTCTATGAAGATTCTGGTTTTCCTCCTGTGGACCTGCCTCTCTCTTTAAAAGTAGATTTGAAAAGGGGATTTGCAATGAGGATTAGATTTCAGCCAACAGCGGTGACCTTTGTCTCTCTCTGGCCTCCAAGGGTCCAGCAAGGCCCTGTTACATTTCAAGAAAGAGAAACTGGAAAGAAAATATAAAAATGAGATATAAAATAAGGCATTTGAAGTAATGAGATATTATGTCTCTAGCCTAAGGAATAAACAAATGTCTTTCTTCTCATTGACCAAATTTGGGGCCTCCTTGCTCTAATCATAGACCCAGCTACCCGATGCTCTGAAGAGCACTCTGATGCCAGGAAGGTGATTTTAGACACTCCGTCAAGATGTTGAGTTTGAAAACTAGCTAAGTGCATGAGTAAACAATAAGAGAAGTAATTTGGGAGCCAGAACCATGGATGATCATGAGGCTTTGCCCATATATAGGACCACAGCCCTTTCTCAAGAATAGGTTGGGTGAACGAAGCAGGAATGCTCACTGATCAGCAGTGGCACTAAATACTTGTTCTAAAAATGCTCTAATTACTTGCTGAAAAAGCGTATTGCTCCTGTATTTGGTCAATATGTTTTGTTGACTCTGTGCCCTTAAGTGCATTCAACCCACTGCCAGCATCTCTTCCCAGTTTTAATGAGGATCCTTTGCAGAAGATTAGAGGAAAGCTAGTTGAGATGAGCATCCATACATGTGCTAAATCCTGTCTTCATGTATCAGCCAGCAAAATGAGAAATAAATATCAAGGGCTTAACTAGTTTCATATCAAAATACATCATGCAGACAACTTTACTGCGCTGTCTGTTGCATCTTCTGTACTAAGTCATCTCTTGAAGTCAATCACCAAATCTCAAGTGTTTTTTCAAAGGCCAACTTCAGATTCTAGGCTGTGTCATTTTAGTTTGTAATATTGTCAGCGTTGTGATGAATAACACTAATTTTCCTTGCATTTTCTAGGAGTTCAGTCTAGTAACACCTTGTTAAAATGTCCTATGACAGCACCAGAGGCTTCACTGCACTAAGTGATAGACAAATAAACAGAAAAGTGACATTCCTTGTCCTCAAGTTTTAACAAAGGAAAGGAGCGTAGAAAGGAAGGGCTGCTGAGGATATTTTACAGATAAAAAACTGACATACAAGGACTTTTTGAAGATATCAGAACTTCAAAACACAGAATTTTCAAGAATACTTAAGTGAGTGTTCCTACTTTGCCTATCTCCAGGAAGCCTGTCTTCAGTCTGTCAAGAGCACATCATAATAAAATAATAAATTTATAACTTTTTAGTATTTGTGACTATGATATTTTTCCAAAGGCTGCAACAAAATTTAGGATTTCCCAGATCATATCATAAGTATACAGGGGACAGTGGTAAGTGTAAAGACTCAGTATAATGCTAGTATGCAAGATGCAAATGAAAGAAATGAGCAACTTCAAGGAGACTGATTTTCCCAGGATTATCACCCATAATAGTTGCTACAAACCTGGTTTTTTGTTTGCTTTGTCTGTTGGGCTATTTTGCAACTGCAGTCCCAAATTCAGCATCTAAAGATTTGATTAGTATGAGGAAAGCTGAGAATGTCAAGTTAGTCAAGAAACCTAGTGTATGTGGTGTTGGCTCTTTTTGTTTGCTTTCCCTAAGGATTATTGAATATATTTCTCAACTAAGCCACTCAATGCCTTTAATGACATTTCCCCCTTACATTATTCATTTTTATTTTCATAATTTATAGAAGGAAAATTTTCCACCAAAGTTTAAATAAAATATATGCTATTCAGTTCTTTTCATTATTCATTGAGCTGTAGCTTGCACTTTCTTTTTCACAAAAACAGTTCATCAAAAATGAAAGTGCTTGAGAAGAAGGGGGGCACTGATATAACAGATACGGCAAGGAACTGCAGAAAAAAATCCCAGAGGTTATTGCATTTTACTACTTGGAAGGTAAGCAAACAAGAATAAATATATAAGCCAGTTGGAATTTGCCACAAAAGGAAAATTCTGATTGGTTACTCTTAAAGAAGACATAGAGTTCCCTGATAACTTTCATGAGTTCTGTGATGCTTGGTTTTGTTTGTTTGAGAAGCCCTGGAGACAGAGTTAAGAAGATGCTTGAAAATTTTGTCTATAATTTTTTTTTCTTTTTTTTAAATACCAAAGTGAGTTTCTAGCCTGCAAGGCAAGAGTCAAGAAATAGAGATTACCAAACAATTTGCCTGCAGAAACCAGAATGTTTAAAAGAAACCCAGCATGCGATGGTCATGATTAAATAAAATGAATTTTACAACACCCTGGCTTCTGGGGATCATCTTACTATATAATACAACAAGCAATCCCAACAAGTGCATAATGCTCCACAAGGTTCTGCTGGCTTTCCCCACTATCTGGACACGCTTGTGGTGTGCTTCTCATCATTTCAGCTACAGGTACTTCTACTTGCACAGTACTGGAGGGATTACACCTATCAGGAACCCACTAAATGAAAATTAACCATAGTGGAAATGGGGTAGAAGAGCATGACTGAAAACATTCCCAGGGCTGCGTCTGCAGAAGTGAAAATAAACAACACTATTCCATGAGAGGATGTTACGTGTGCCCCACTGAGAGAACAGGACACACCAAAATGCGCAGGCTTTCTCATCCTTCAAAAATTACTTGGTAATAATTTGGTTAGGTAAATGCTTATATTCATTTATTGTCAGCAGCTGGAAATAATGAGGCATCTGCATGCAGGCTACTGCCAGACTTAAACAGTATTTGAACATCCTCATGGTAAAATAAGTTTTTTTTCCTGTATTTAAATGAAGTTTTCTGCACTTCAGTTTGTACCTGTTGCTTTTTGTCTTGTCACCAGGCCCTAGTGAACAGAAAGCCCAGCTCCATCATTTTTACTCTTTCTATCAGGTATTCATACACCTTGCTGGAGTCTTCTTTTATCCCAGCTGCACAGTCCCAGCTGTCTCAGCCCCTTCATATGTCAGATTTTTCAGGTCCTTCATCATCTTCATAGATCTTCAGACGACTCTGTATGTCCGTGTCTCTCTTGTAATGGAGATCCCAGACCTGGACTCAGTACTCCAGATCTCACTGTGCTGAACAGAGAAGAAAAATCACTTCCTTTAATCCACTAGAAATGCTCCTCCTAGGGCAACCCAGGAGGCTGACAGCCATTCTTGCTGCAAGTGTGTATTATAGTGAGTGTTACTCACTTATAGTCTACTGGTTGTCCATAGACTTTTCCTGTCAAGCCAGTTGGCGAAAGCTTGTATGGAGACACTGGGTTAGTAGTAGCTGTGACTTCACATTTCACCTTGCTGAGCTTAAAGAGAGTCTTCTCAGTTTGTCTCTCCAGCTCATTAAAGACATTCCAAATAGCAGTCTCTAAACTAAGAGGCAGCTTCACAAGACATTGAGCCTATAACTCCTACTTAGCTTCTCAGTCAGAACTAAAAGCTCAAATACTTCAGTGGATCTGGTGTCAACTTTGTGCTATTGCATGAACAGCCTGACAGGAAAAAGCATATCTATCATGCAAAGCTGCTCATGGGATGTTGGAGATCCAGGCCCAAGGTCCTACTGTACCTCACAGGAAGTGTTTTTAAGTTCTGTTGTAGGCTTCTGATGGGGCTGTTCCAGTTCATGTAACATTAACATGTTACAGGTCTCCTTGATCCCAGAGGAACAAATCAATCATTGTTTGGACTAATTCTTCTACAACCATATCAGTATACTTGTATCTTCATTTTTCTTCTCAGAAGAGCTGGAAGCATGTCAGATTACACCCTTTGGACAGTCTGACTTTGCAGAGCATTCTTGTGAGGGGCAAATGATTTCTTTTTCCAGCATTTCTGTCCTGTGCCTACACAAAAATAAGAGCAGCACAGAGTGTATATTCACAAGGAGGGCGAGCCTCATAAAATCTTTCTGTACTTGTTCTTTATTCCTTATTTTGGCTCCAAACTTAGCCACTAGAAGCAAGTACAATCAAAACAACTAATTTTTAATCACGTAATGAGAAATAGATAAACATTAAAAAGGGAGTAATTTCTCAAGATGTGCAATACAGAAAGGACTTTCATGATTAAAAAAATGTTTTCCTCTTTAGAGTGATGTTTTCTTAGGAAAACATTGTCTAGTATGTCAGCTTTGGTAGAAATAGTGCCATTATCACTAACGTGTGCTATTTTTATTCTGTTAGCTACTTAAAATGAGTTTGACAGAGGAAAAATGTGACCATTAGGCAGTCAGAACAATTCTACTTAAAAAAATTGCTGGTCAAAAAAAATCAAATAAAAGGGAGGAAAAATTTAAATCCCATGAAAATAATTCTTTAAAAAATACAGCCATATAAAAATATGGAAGTGAATATGAATACATATATTAAATTAGTTCCACATAGATCTTTATGCAATTTCCTCTTACGTAGGAAACTGGAGAGATGGTTTATTTATATGTAGGCCACTCTGAAAGTAATGCCTCCTACTTATTTATTTTCATGGGAACTATAACAGAGGATGACAGCAACACTACTTGATAGGGTAAATTCTCAGCTAAAACCACTGTTTCTCAACACAGTCACAGTCACTATTAGCTATGCATTCACCAGCAATGAACGAGAGCCTGTATGCCGCACTCCTCAAAATCTGCACCAGTAGAGGTGACCCACTGTTTCTGTTCCCACTGCTGAAACGTACCACCCACCACCACGCTGTGCTCACACCCACTGCTTGGTCTCCATAAGCATTCATCAAGCTTCAATGAATATCAGTGGATGCCATTTTTTCCATGCGGAAGAATTCAATGACACACCTTTGCTTCATCCACTCTTCCATGCCAGATGCCGTATGGACAGACTGCCCCTCTGCTACAACAAAATAAGAGAATATTGTCCTGAAGGTCTACACTCCACTGCCATACCATCAACATTCACCTCTGACATCATGGGCCAACAGGATACAACTGGAGGCATTACTTTCAAAGTAGCCTTTGTACGTAGTGGCAACTATCTCTTAACAATTCAAATCCAAGATACAGTCACATCAGTTACCTGGATTTTCTAGGCTCTGCTTCATTGTTCTCTTCTCTGAGGGCCTCAAGGAACACGGGGCTTAATTGATATTTCTTTCAAAATGAACTTTATATTGGTGTTCGTTATCTGCACTTCAATATCTCTAACAATTATTTTGCAGAGAAATCTGCACAAGTTGGTCTGCCAAAACCATTTTAATGATGTAAAGTTGTTTCTCATGCAGCATACTGCACACTTTCATATATTTGACTTTATCGCTGCTCTTTGCATGCGTAATTCTTCACACATTGTTAAAGCAACTAGTAACCCAGCCCAGCTGTAACAGTGTTGCTGTCCCATTGATTTACGTCAGGGTACAAAGGAAACCACAGACTCTTGTTGCTTCCGGCTCTGCTTTTTAGAACAGAAGTTACCACACTGCAGAATTAGGGCTTGATCTTGTCACTTGCTCCATGTTCAGTTACCTTTGTAGGTCCAGCTGGTGACAAGAAAGCAGGTATGACATCCAGGAAAAAAAAAAAAAAAAAAAAAAAAAAAACCCACTAAAAAGAATAGATTTAATGTAACCCCGTACTTAGCTCAGATTTCTGAGCCTTTTGAAGGAAAATATGTTTTCAGACTATAAATGGTGTAAGAACAAAGCTTCTGTAATCCATTTTTATATTGCTATGAAATGTTATAGTATCTAGTGGTGTTTGAGATATGCTATTACTCAAATGAAAACAGTATTTAAAAAGTACTTGTCTGTGGAAAGAAGGAGAGCTACTTTCTGAGGTACTGACACTTAGTTTATCATCTTGAACTCATCTTGAGTTCACTCTGTTCCGCTTCTCACTGACTCATATATTTCCCATTGAAGATTTATGTTTTAAACACATTTACAGGCCAGAAAAGTTAAGCCAGTGCGTTCTGTAACACGTACCTTATGTGTTTTCAGTCCGGTTTCCCAGGGGAATGCAGCCTATGTGATCTTGCTGTCTCAGCCCATCCATCCATCATGTGCTGCCTACAGCCTGGTCTGGCAGAAAGGTAAGATATCAATGACAAATAATTTCCTACAAATGTCACAAAAAACTGAGACAGGGCAGATGAGAAAGATCTAAATTAATGTCCTGCACAGAGGGAAAGGCTATGGAGTGAGTCTGTTATTGTCAACAACCCATTGGGAATAAATGCATCATACACGTGCAGTGTCAGCATATGTATGGGGAAGGGGCTGTAACTAAGACATGAGTATCACGAACATGAGAAGACAAGTCTCTCTGGCCATTCTTTCGCCACTCTTTGTCTAAAAGAAGAGGTAAAACAGAGGTAACAGGGGAAGCAAGGCTAGGATTGGAGGTGATGTCATGGCAGGGGTAGGCGCAGTGAAGGAATGAGGCACTGAAGAAAGGAAATCCATATGAAGGCTTCTGCACCAGCTCTGCTGGTTCTAAGGCAGTTTGCCTAGAATCATAATGGGAATTAGTCTCATGTTTGCTGTTTTAATACAATATTCTTGAGTGTGTCAGGGCAGTGGAGGAAGAACCCAAAGCTATGGAATCTATTAGCATGAATTTTGCTGGAAACGCTCAGCACAAAACAAATAATAGTTTCAAGCCTCTTGAAGGGAAATAGAGCCAGATTTGAAAATGTATTTTATATGTGCTCTTTATTATACTGTAGTTTCCTAGACACATTTCACTCCCAGAAAAAAAAAAAAAAAAAAAAAAAAAGGAAAAGAAACAAGAGTAAAATCTGCAGATAGCATATCATTACAGAACCTCAGAGACTGAAAAGATTCAACATTCCTATTAACAACAGCAAATAAAGAGTGATTGATTATATTAAGCCCAAGAACTTGAGTTCTGCTAAAGTATACATTTCATCCATTTATAATCTGAAGTTATCTAAAAATTAAGAATCCATTACCAACCCTGGCAATTTGTTTCCCATTGATTACTAGTAATGAATGTTCTTCATTTCTTATTTGAATTTAACAAGCCTGAGCTTGCAGCCATTCCGTCTTTTTATGCCCGTGTCTGTCAGGATAAAGAACCTTTAGGGCTTTTACTTCCTCTCCTCAAAGTACACTGTAATCACGTCTCTTCCAAGTTTTAATAAATTAAGCAGACTCAGCCTGTAACTAAAACTCTCTTCCTCTTAAATCATTTCATGGCCCTCTTCTGACCAGCCTCCAACTTCTCAACACATTGCAAACAAAGCGTAAGCAGCAAAGATGGGACTCATCTCACCAGACTGCAAACCTGTGAAAGGATCCCTTTGCAATCACTTCCTGCTAGAAGATAATTCCTCTTGTCTCAGCTCACATATCTATTTCCAGATGAGACAAATCTTTTCTAAATTACTGCTGTGGAATCTCAGTCTGTTATCCTAATGGCTATGCTCACCAACACTGTGTACCGAAATAAAATTGCATCCAACTAGGTCTACTATTTCCTTGCTTGCATAGCCAAAATGTGCCTCAATCCTTCCTGCTTCAGCACAACTTCAGAATTTCGCCTTGAATCATCTGCTCACCTTAACCCCTAAATCCTATTCAGGACTCTTATGTTCTTTACTTAGGTCAAGTTATTGAGTTGATTATAGCCATCCAGAAGACTCAAGCATATTGCGGTACTGAACATGGTAACAGGTATAAATGCCATGGAAAGAAAATGAACAACAAAGTTTGAATCCAAAAGTAGCTAGATTGTTTTTTTCCAAACACAAGGCAGTATGGTCCCTCTGACCACACAGTTTCATCCTTTCATTTCCATCACAGCTACCAGCTACTTCATCCCTTTGATAAAGACTGAGAGAGCTGATTTTTTCCTGTCAATGTCTCTGTCCAGCTTTGGAGCAAAGAATTAATACTTCACATTGGCTCTGCATACTGACATTCTTGAACAGCTTCTGCAGCTGTTGTTGGAGCTGCCAAGACAAGACTGAACAAGCAGAGGCACCAGGAGTAGAATTTATCTATGTGCTATGCTACACCTGTAGCTCATATACTCAGATATTTATGTTCTTGCAATAGCACCCCACATTCATGGGAGAGTGTTGGTTTACAACCATTAGGGAAGAAAAAAAAAAAAACCAGCAAAAAGACTCCTCCACTTATTATACCACTTTTCCTATTAAAATATATTCCCTGTTATATCCCAGGACTCTGCTCAAACCAAGATCTTGATTCTTTAGTCTAGTGTGCTTACTCTTAAACTGTCAGCCTGTGCATATATACATTAACCTGTGACAAAACTCTTCATGTGACTTAGATACAACTATTGAGGAATCCCAAAGGCTACATTTCTTAAGTTAAGTAGAAACATTTATCTGAAGTTACCTGCTTTTCTTCATGGTAGTTAAGAGAAGGCTATAAAACCAAGGCATTAAGACAATATTTAAAAACGTAGGTTATGCATATCACAATGTTTCTTCATCCTATCAGTCCAGTCAGCCCCAAAGCCTTAGCTCTATTTTACCTCTAACTTGCAGACAAATGGTTATATTACACATAGTTTGCACAGGCAGGCACCCACTTACATTGCAGGGCATCAATAAAAATTCTTTCTTTGACCTAAAATTACATAACAGATACAGTCTTCTACAGACAAAACCCCAGTGAGAGTGAAAATACAAAAGGTCTAGAAAGGTGAAAGTCTGCTTTTACTGACATTTAAAAAAGATTCAAATTCAGCAGGCCTGAAGCCAAGCAGGATTATGAAGTTTTGGGGTGTTTTTCTTCAAGCATAACAGAAACTCAGCCTTTTCAATATGAAACTATAAACACTTGACCAAACAGTACATAGGGCGTCAAATAGCGTGCATGGGGTCAAGCAGGCAAACCTTACTTATTTTCTTCCAGTTGTCTCAGTAAGTAAATAAAAGATTCCAAGTTATTTTGAATTGCTCTGGAAGCACCTGCATTTCTACACAAGAATAAGAGTATTTAATTTGACCCCAGATTAACAGCCAAACTAATTCTTAAGATTGTTAACTCTTTAAAATACGTATATTTATAATGGAACTGTAGCTTCACTGAATCCTATAGAGTGTTCTCTTTTTGTCTGCACAGTTTTTCTATTTAATACAGAGTGCTGTTAAAAGGCTTCCACTCCTTCAGATACCATTTGGTGCCTGAGCAACACAAGTGCCAAATCACTTCAACAAGACATTACCTTGCTTACTAATTCTCCTCCAGGCGCTCATCTTCCCACCATCTCCATATCATATCATACCATACTCCAGTGCTCCAGACACATTTAGGCCTTAGAATCAACAGCACTGAAGTACTGCTTCTACAACATTATAGGTGCATAGAAGCCCAGAACCAATGTGCAAAATCTGTGGCTGAGTAGCCCAGTCCAATCAGCACTAATAGGAACAAGAAGGCCCTGGTCAGGTTCTGATGAAAAACACATGGTTACAGTGAAAAGGCATGGTTCCTACTCCTTGTCATCTTCATCCTTGACACCTGTGGTATTGGAGGCATCTCTATGGGGCACAGCTATCTAGGCCCTCATCAGTGCTTTCAATGGTTGGGCTCTGTGGCAAGCTTTCCCTATTCTTTTTGTTTGTTCTGTGTTTTGTTGTTAAAGCTTATAGCCTTTTCCACACACTCCTTGCCCTACAGAAAGTGCACAGCTTGAGTAAGGAGAGAGATAGTTCTGCATGAACAGGCATGTTCAAGAAGGGAAATCCAATAGACAGAAGAAGGTTCAGCATTTTAGGCGAAGATTAGAAATGTGCAGTTTACTCCAGCACAATTGCAAGACCACACAAAGCCTCACGCTGAATGTGGCACCACTATGCATGGGTCAGAATATAGATGTACATGGACACCCATGTGAATGCTCATAGTAGGATTTAAATGCTAATAATCTCCTTTCCCATCTTGTAGAGAAACCCAATTTTGCAGTCCTTTTGGTTGTTTTCTTCTTCCAAGAATAAAGAACAAGGGCTCAGAAATTAGATTTGACAAGCAAGAACCTCCATAACCTGCCTATATAGCTCAGAGGATCAATCAGCTGAAAATTCAGACAGTAACTGGCATAATATCTAGAACATCGGTGTGAGCATTTGCACGTGTAGGTTCTTGACATGCATCTTCAAAGGAGGCAGAGTGCAAGGAAGTGTGTAATTTTAACAAGGAAACCTTGCATACGTGGGAAAGGAAGATCGTGTATTTCAGAGGACTGTCATTTGCACACAGCGCCAAATTGGAAGTGTTTAATGTTCTCACACGCAGCCATATAAAAAGCTAAACAAGCCAAATACTCCAAGAGACGCAGCACTTCCCTTATTAAAAAAAAAAAAAAAAGTTTAATTATAAATAGATTGTAAAATGTAATTTTTGTCATAGCATGGTGGCTGAGCAATAAAAGGTGATAAAGTTTCATTGTAACATCTCATAATTGCATCTCAAATGCTCTAAGTGCAAAACTTGTACAACAGATGAGTTAAAACGCAACTTTTGCTTCCAATTTGGCTTTTGTTGGTTTAAGCCTCCCCCGCAGCAACCCTTAAATCTATATTTTCTGGTTTAATTAACAAAAGAAATAATATAGCACCTTCTACATCTCAGCATGGAAATGAGTTTTGCAAACTGCTGTTATTAGTAGTTTTGCTAAGTTTGTATCACATCTCGTGAGTAAAAATAGCATATTGGGCTCTGCAAACTGCCAGAATAGAAAATAGGCACTTGCTATCACTTAATCTTCTCCAAGCAAAATGGATTAAAGCCTTGTCTAAAGGATGTCAGCATATGCTGAGCACACCACGGTTTCTCAGAATCAAGTCCCTACATTTTGGCCAAATTGATGGATATTTTAATCAAGGAGATTTACATTGGAGAGCAGCTGAGTATAAAACACTCTCATTTGTGCAGTAAACAGACCCCCAGGAGGGTGCATGTATTTAAAAATTAGTGCAATAAGCAGATCCTGCAAGCAGCAAGCAAATGAAAAGTCTTAAGATCTGCAGCATCAATGTTGCTATGAGGTGAGCTAATGTTCTGTTGTCTGCTCATCTCCTACATTGTCTCATACTTTCCCAGTCTGAACTATGCATCTAGTCCAGCAGTAAGACATCTCATCCTACACATCTTAAATGACATGCTAACCAGCTAACAGCAGGCTACATGTCAACCTCTTCCTTGGACACTGACCTCAAGTTTCCCAGTAGACTTCTCAAATGAAGAAAGACAGCTGGAGGGCAAATGGCAAAACTGAAGTGTATCTCACTGTGAGATACAGCAAGTTTCTACCTAGAATGATCATCCAGTGGTCACAAGCACCCTACTTTTTCCTGCATAGGAGAGTGAATGTAGTATTCATTTTTCCTGATGCAACGGGAACAGTCCAAGGTTCCATGGCTTGCAGCTAGTGGGGGTTATAGCACTTGAGAAGCATAGTGTGGAAAAAAGAAAAGACATAAAAGAAAACTAAGAGCCAGTAGTTTATATAAGCAATTGCTGAAGTCACAGAGATGCTCTTTGTATGCATTTCTAATGCATTCATTACTATAATAGCATGAAAACAATTTCTTTTCTTCTTTTGTTTTTACTGTTATAGTTATAATTTATTTTTAAATGGAGCTATATCAGCCTATTTCATATAAGATATTATCTCTGCTTACAAATGTTACCTATTTGGGCAAGTAAAGTTTGTAATTTAGAAAAGTTTGATCTTCAGGGGATCATAGTTCCATCCACAACATTGCTACATACAGACAACACAACAGACATTTTCTACAAAGAGAAACTTACCCTGTGGCAGATCAACACAAAGTGAGTTCACTGAAATCCCTGAGTAAACACTGCTTCAGGTTTCCACCACCTTGAACATTTGGAACCAGTAACCACGCACCCATATCGCATCTTTCCTACACAAAGAAGCTTGTGCAGGAAAGAGGTTTTCCATTCAAGAAGGGGTGCATGCCCAGTGAAAAGGGAATATACTTTACCTGAACAATATGCCTGGACTAGGGGAAGGATTCCAGTTCAGTCAGGCACACCTTTCCCACTGCTACCTAAGTAAATCAAGACTAGATTAAAATACCATAAAGCAGCTCTATACTGATCATTAAAATACACTCAGAGAGACAAAGTAGTAGGACATTTTGAGTGTGATTGATTCCTTATGAGTCTCTCCTCTGTTCATTCTACTCAATATTTTCATTAATATCCTAGGAGTCATTAATAACTTCAGACTGTAGAGCTGAAACAGCTATAGGGGTGGCAAAATTTGTGAAAGATCAGACCAGACTTTGAAACCATTTGGCAATGTAGTTGTCCAAAATCAACAAGATGAATTCATCCCATCTTTGCCTCAAATGTAATGTGAAGGCATTATTCCTGGCAAGCTATTACAGAACAAATCAATGGGCATAAGAGTCAGCTAGACAGCTGCGTGCCAGTGGGAGAGTTTATAGGGGTTACAAAACTGACATGGATGCAGCAATCTAGCAGAAAGAAGACAACTTTAATTTTGGGAACAGAAATGGAGCATGTAATAAGATGGAGGTGTTTCTTCCATTATACAGAATGCTGGCAAAGTATTACTTGGAGAACCATGTCCAGGATTCTAAGCCAGAAAAGAATACAAGGAAATCTGAGCAATAAGTAGTTTGGAAAAGGAGACCTATAGAAAAAAAGAATATAGAGATCAGAAAGGATTAGGGTTGTTCAGTATAGAAAATGAAAAGACTGTGAAAGGAACTGAAATATTCTGTGATCAAAAGTTGTTACAAATTGTTCTTTCCAACTTTGCAATACTTAGGGCTTCTTAGTGATGAGAGTAGTGAGAAGGCAGTATAGTCACCCCAGGAGATTATGAAATCTCTATCATTTCAGAAGGATCAGGTTATGTTGATATTAGTAACAGCAATATTAGAACAGAGGCCTGGGCACTCTGACATCTCCCCGATGACTGCCCCAGTGATTCTGGGTCCGTTAGCATTCCCCAGAGAATTCCCAAGCAAGATCTGGCATTTCAGGAACACTCTGGCCAAGGAACACTCAACAGACAGGTTCAGTGGGAGCATCCTCTGTGGCAAGGCAGGCAAGATTCAAAGTGTGTTTATGTAGACCATTTGTCCCAGGCCCAGAGAACTGGGCAAGGAGTAATAGTTTCAGACTAAAAGGGGAGATTTAAACTGGGTATAAGGAAGAAGTTGTTTACATTAAGAGTAGTGAAGCACTGGAATGGGTTGCCCAGAAGTAGTGGATGCCCTCCCCCTGGAGATACTCAAGGCCAGGCTGGATGGGGCACTGAGCAAAGTTGGACTAGGTGACCTTGAAACATCTTTTCCAACTCAGATGATTCTATGATTCTATGAACTGCCGCAGGCACATTTAACTTATTAGTGCTGTAGTCCACAAGTAGAAGTCTGTGCAAAGATAACACCAGACCCTTAGGAAATGCTGCAAGACCTTACCTAACCCTGTATGCCTGAAGTTCTGAGTTACATCTTGTAATGACCTTTGTTGGGACATGGAGAAAAATTTCAGCTACAGTACAATCCTAATTAAATCTATTCTCCAGGATCTGTATAAAGAGTCAGTGAGACAGACTGTCAAACAAACACATATAAAAAAGGGGAAAAAAAAACTTTTCATCCCTTCCCTGCGTGGTTTGTCTTGTAGATAACTCAGTAGAAATAGAAAAAGTAGCCTAATATAAATCAAGCCCAACATCTCAGCTGGAGATAAACAACTTTCATCAGCTCGAAGATGCAGAACTCAATTTATAGTTATATGGCATCACAGGAATAGGCATTAACAAACATTGCAAATATATTGCCCTTCCATCACTCAGGAACTCAGAGGGGGCCAGAAGCTCCATGCTGCAGCTGCCTCACACCAGCTGTGGGCCTAACATCATCACACTTTGCAGACACAGAAAATGTCTATAACACAGTCATTGTGCTGCGATGGATGGCAGCTAAGCTTCAGTAGCAAGGAGCTCAGTGTGGGCTGCAGCTCCTCCCAAAATTGTTGTTTGCATAGCCTGCGTAAGTGCAGTGCTGTGCAGGCTGGACCCCTGATGTTGAGCAAGGTGGTTAACTTCATCCTTGCTCAGATAGGTCTCTGGTCTGGCTGTGGGGTGGACCTGGCTGAAGGTGGTTAACCACGTAGCTGGAAAAGAGTTTCTCTGATTCTTACAGGGCTATTGTTGATGAAGGTTCAGCATCAAGAGACTCCTTTCATATACACATTGAGAAATATTTTACTACTCAGTCAACACACCTCACCAGCACCACCCTTTTTACACACAGCTAAGTTCTTCACCTCTTTCTGCACATCCTCGGGAAGGAGAAGAAAGAATGAGATGTAGACC